GCCATTGGTCGACGTCACCTGACTACTGACCCCGGAGCTCGGAGAACTGGACGTGCCGTTCGCTTGGCCACTTCCGCCGGAGTTGCGCTGAGAAACTTCAGTCACCTGTAGGCAACACATTAAACGGGCATGTCAGTTGGGTTGCCTACAATAACAGGGGCGCAACCAAACTCAATAGGGCCGGCCAGAGAGAGACACTGTTTTTTTTAGAGTAGTCGTCTTTGAACGCTAATATAAAATTAGCACTGTTTCAGATTGAAGTGCGTTTTGTCATCGAGTTGTAAAAATCTTTTTCATTTCTGTTTAAATTTGAATGCTCACATCCTAACTGTAAAAACTAATGCCACATAAGACCTTTACGGCCAAACTTCGTATTTGGTTGTGTATTCCACCTGCAGGCCGAGCGTTCTGAACTCGTGCGTGGTTTCCTTTACTCTCACTAGATGGCAGATCGGGCAGTTTCTAAAAACCGAATACACCTCCATCGCATAAACTTCTCAATTTGCGATACAAAAGTTATAAATGACAGAACGTTATCAAATAAGGCTGAGGAATAAATTAACAAAAATTTTATATGTTTTGTTGTTTCAAGGAAGGATCATAAACTGAGGGCGTTTGAGAATAAATTGCTGAAAGATTGCAGCGCGTGACAAGAATAAAGCAACCGCAGAACAGAGGAAATGGCACTAAGAAGGGGTGTACAATTGTTAAGCTTTACCAAACAAACATTTCGGTGATTAGACAAAGAAGGATGCGGCGAGCGACACCTGTAACACGAGTGAGAAATGTGGCAAAGTTAGTGGTGAACCTGAGGGAAAGCCGATGCTTTAAAATGGTGTGTTCAGGAAAACTTCCAGTGAAACAGTTTCACAAAAGGCGAGACATTTCTTGATCCGCTGCGAGCTACAGCTTATCAACAAAACATCTTGTATCGCACCAACTTCCCTCTCGGCACTTGCAAAATTGGTAAGTTCGCCCTTTCTTGAGCACTTCGGGCCGCGTCTCCGAGTTCAATGCGATGCGATGTATTCATGATATTCAGTAGTGCACTACGTAAGCCGGTCAGTCAGTCAGTCAGTCAAGATGGACTTGCAAATATACGGACAGGGACAAGACACAGGAAATTTGACTGCTGTGGGAAAAGACGAGGTGGGGCCTTCCCGAACAAACAGCTGTTTTGGGGGAGGAAAGACGTTAGGACGCCAGAACGTGAAGCCGACATATGAACGTGTAATGTGGTCGGTGCGGAGGTATCACGTGTTCTCTGCACGAGCTGTGTGAGTGAACGCGCAATGGAGAGGTCGCGTCCCGTCCGCTTATTTTATTTCGGGGTTTAAATGTCACTTGTTAGAGTTGTTGCGAATTTAATTATGGCTCATTTGATTTTCTAGAACTCGCTAAAACCCATTAGGTTTCACTTGAGGAATGTACTTTGACCTTGAGCAGTTCGACTCACAGCGGATCGACTGATTTCTGTTCACAATAAAAGGCCTGAAGGCAAACGGATCATGCGCGCATTATAACTAAGGTCATGTTTAAAAGTCACAATTTTAGTTCGGATAAAAGGATGCAGATAACACGATTACTTACCTAAGTCCTCTGCCTACTTCCAGTACCAGTGACAAAAACATCCTCGTGTATGCGTGTGGGCGCCCATCGCCATCCCTGGATGGAACTCGGATCGTTCCCAGGGACCCCCCCTTCCCCCTATTTTACGTAATGATGGAGACAGATCCAGTCCCAGAATCGTCGTGTTATCAGGAACAATAGACGATGTATAATTTCCAAAATTTTAGCGAAAAATGTTACATGATTAAGGTTTCTGTGCTTTTCCTCAGTCCCTCCAAGCAGATGCCTCACACTGGCCCCTGTACTTAGCGATGTTTGCGCCTAGTCCGAGCTAGTGACAGCGTCGTTAAACAAATAAACCGCTGTAGTGAACTTTAGGGCTCCACGAAAGACGGGAAATTCCTTAACAGTTAAGCAACCATCATCTTGTCAAGAAGAACGCTGAAGCGAGCTTCGTTATTAACATCAAAGCGTCGGTATGAGTGTATTAACACCCGCGGGTTAGCTCAGTAAGTAAAGTGACTGACTTCGGGCAGGATGACCGTGGTTCAATTCCCGGCCACTAAGTCTCTGGACACCGGGAAATTGAGAGAATCTGAGCGTCAAATCGTCGTTCTTAATCTCGGCACAGCGCAGAGATTAAGAATGCGTGGAGCTGTACCTCCACTCCCACAGCTTGCTGACGCCTAATAATACGGGGGGGGGGTTTCTCGATCTGACAAACGACTATTGGCTTCTGGAGTGGAATTTTGCTGCCGCGGGGGCCCGTCTTAAGAAATGCGCCGGTTACATCTGTCCAGTTAGTGTGCGGGCGGAATAATGCGCCGTGGCTTTGTCTTCCTCGAGAGCTCGCCACTTGGATTGGCGATTTCCATATGTCCACTGCACACAGCGCCCCCTGAATGTCAATAGCCACCCCGTCCTCCGTTGCTTTCGTTTGAGATGACATGGGAGGGGAAATTCTGTCTTATCAGCAAACCTAAGAATTTTCTTATTCCCTTCCGTCTCTTTCGCGTGTTTCTGCATTTGACGTCGCGTCGGTCACACGGTTCATCGGACTGCGTGCAGATGCGCCTCCTCGGGAGGGACTTACGTGGGGCGGGGCAGCCGCCATGAAAAGGCGCGCTCGTGCTCGGGGCTTACTCATGACCAGAATATGCTCGGATGCATTCACGTCTGAACATCGCAACTAATAATTCTACGAGACTTTTTCTCGTTTCTTCTGTCATTCTGCCCGAATGTGTAGTTGCTTATCGTCTGTTCATTGTCTTATCTTACCACAATCACAAATGGTAAGTCGCCATTTCACAAACTATTGAAAATATAGCGAAATTTTAGAAACGAAATTTCACCAAATTTGGAAGCAGCACACAAACACGTATTGAATACTCTGAGCAAGTGTGCGTTAATCGACCGAATGAATTGTATATTATGCCTTAATTAGACGAGCCATGAGAACGGCCATGACCTTGTGGTTTCATAATAAGTCAGGAAATTTGTCGACTATACGCCTCACTATCAGTTCCTCATTACTTTAGGCAATTAGTTACGGAAAAGTGTAGGTTTAGGTAATTCCTTCCACTCCAAGAACTTTAATTTCCTCCATTTTCTTGCGACGTGTGGGTATAAAATTCGAGGCAATGTGGCCGAATTCGGGATACATGTTTCTACATGAAGAGAAAACGCGGGGGTGATCATTGAACAATTCCCAAACCTGGAAGTGGCCGGTGGCCTACCTTGCACTGGGGCGTGCACACGAAGAAACCTGGAAGGACGTTTTCCCGTCGCGAGTGCTGAGGTAATACAGAAGCAGACGCCGTGAGAAGACATCAAAGACGTTTGGACAGAGATCAAAGCGACTGCCTTTAGAACACAGCCCGTTCTTATTAGACACGCTCGTGTCACACCGCGCATGCCAGGCTGCTGCTTCGTTTCCCTATCACTTCACTATCATCATCATCATCATCATCATCATCATCATTACACAGCGTTATTTTTAGCAGGAGTCGCAGTGATGGCATCCAGGCGTCGAACCAAGTCCCCCAGCAATTTAGTCCGACTGAAACGCAAAGTCCAATGTTTCTCATGTCGAATTCTACCAGCACAAAATGCCCAACTGGACAGAAATCGTGAAGCTTACAGGACGGGAAAGCGCTCATGTTTCAATTCAAATTAATGCGAATATACGAACAAATGTCTTCATGGTGTACAGTTCTAACATTTTTCACTGCAACCACAAAATTCAGGCAGTACAACAACTTGTAAGCCAGATAAATCCAATCCGCACGAGATAAGGTCAATGCGAGGTATCACACACTCGTAATACGAAACAGGGTTGGCGATTAGAATAATTTCTTAATTGCTCGCCAGGGGTCTGTGTGGGCGGGTACAGAACTAGGCTCGCCTATTCGGCCCTTTGTCTAGTCCCCTCTTTCTTTTTAAGAACTGTTCTACATTTTGACCGCTTTCCTAACTGCCCGACAGAATGGCGGGATAAGCGAGAAGGAATGTGTAAGAAAGAGGATGTGAGCCATTTTAAGGCACTTGGACGAAGCCGAGATACAAACCCGTGACCCCGGAAACGAAGTAGGTAAGTAAAACGGTTCGATCAAACGTACGAAAGGCAAATGTAAATGATCGTAATGAAAGAAAGAAAACTAGGAGCCAGAATTCAAAAGTAGAAAACTCCAGAGGCTCTCATGAAAACCTGATGGGCGCTGGCGTCCGCGATTTGCGCCGCTTGAGAGTGCCAAGATCCAAGCAGCCAGAAGCCGCAGAGACGTCAAAGTCAGACCTCGTGCATTTTGCGGCAGAGAGAGTAATAGACTGAGGCTGTCCTGTAGACAGGAGCAATTAGGTTATAGAAATTAGTGACTCTTAGGAGGATGCGTAATTGAATGTGCTGATGAAAATAGAGTTTCCTCTCTAACATGGCGCCTCTGGAACGAAAAACTGAAATATCGCCAATAAACTAACTCAAATGGGCACTATTCGTTTTACAAGCTGAACAGATAATATTAAAATTCTGCGATCTGTCGACTTTATAACACGACATATTTACGTTATTGGTAAACGAATGTGGCTCAGCAGATAAAAATGGAACACCGGACAAAATTGAAAAGCACATTTTTCTAATATGCAAAATAAGAGACGTGTAGCTAAAAGACGTCCAGTTTCCGTTGTACCTTTGCCAGTAGCCTGAGGCTGTGGCGTTCTTCCCACTTTGGGGAGGGGACCACGGGTGGGCGAGACAGGCGACGGGACGAAACGTCGCTGTCGAGGAAATTAGCCTCGCGGTACTCACCAGATTCAGGGCTTCCCTCTCAGAGTCCACGGAGTCCCCGTCGTGAGCCAGGTCTGGCGGGACGTCGCTACTGATGCTGTGGTCGTCGTTGCTGACCTCGCCGTTCAGCCCGGCGTCTGAAACCAGAATCGTGACCAATATGAGCGGGTTCCGAAACGTCGGGCGATGGACGGGCAGGAAATTCGGTGCCGGGCGAACACGAAACTGTTGTCCGCGCTCACCAATCAACTCCAGTGAACAGACATCCTTGACAAGCTTACAGTCGTTCAGGTGGTAAAAAGTGGCCCATCTTTTTACTGAACCCGGATTTTCAATGCCTTGTTTTTATAAAAGCCCGCCGTAGACAACCAAGTAGAACCTAACCTAACCTGAATGAACGGCTATTTTAGTTGTAAGACGAAGTCGCGCTGCTCTCGTGCTCTCAAACGCACGGCCTAACTAAAACTCGCTTGTTTAATGACGCCTTAGGGTGCTTTTGGGCCGAGCCTGTTGCAGTCCCACGCCATCTGCTGACCCATGTGCAAATCGTTCTTTCTGATTACGTCACAAGGGGGGAATTTTTATAAAACTTTAGAAAATGATCCGGTTCAACCACTCAGCATTCTCAATTGGCGAAGGGAGTTTCGATTGCCACGAACTTGCACTGTGGGGGATGAGAAGAATCTTGTACGAACTGTGAAGCCAATTATTGCCAGACACTCTGCCACGGACGATAAGTCGCCGGGCAAAATCAACCGCCAATGCAGAGCTCTGTCCAAAAAACAAAACAAAAAAAAACGCACCGATTTCCTGCGTCTTACGCATTACCCGTGATAAGTACGTGCGGGGGCAATGGTCGCGTTGCCCAAAATCCTCGACGTCTCTGGTAGCCCCACGCTGAACCGAGGCAGGAAGAAGCTTCAAGCAAAGTTCGTGAAACATTGCAGGGTAGAAATTGGAATATAAGTGGAAATTGTGAGAATGGACCAGTGTCAAGAATGATGAATGGTCCAAAAGGGCGATGGGGACGCGGACGCGGGCCCCGCAGCTCAACCATCTGTTGCGGTCGGCAAAGAAGTTCCCTGCCGCTTCTGCAGCGACAGAGGCGAAGCCCCAGAGCGGAGGCGAACTCCGCGCATTCTCGATCTCGGCGCAACGAGCAGGCGAATGTTCAATCCCTGTCGCCCGGCCAGTAACCTGGTCGATGTACCGACAGACAAACCTTCGCGGCATTCTGAAGTTAACTTTTTCTAGGTCTTTCTACGAGGGTTACTTTAAAAGCCACGGCAAATAATTTGGGGGGGACGGGGGGGCAAACACGTTATATTGAAGAAAGTTCAAAATATACATATGAAGGGGCACGATATACTCCTCCGATTGGCGTAGTCAGATCAGGAAGGTGTGAATGGATGTAGGCGCATTACGGAATGGCCGGTTTTTCATTCGAAATGGTCCCATCTGGCAGACGAGTGTCAATAGTTGTCTACCCCTGCAGAGGAGACAGTTACGGGGTGAAACAGCCTCTGGAAGTTAAAGGCGCGCAGTCGGTCAGTGGGTCGGCTCGTATGTGAACTGTCTGTCCATTGCAGCGAGGGAAAGGGCGGTCATACGTGGGCTTCGTGAAATGCCTAGAAACTGAGAAAAACCACGCGGACATAGGCAGGATTCAGTTAACGGCCTACGCTGAAATCACACGCGCCACATGCTCTACCAGAGATGCTGTCATATCAGTCTTTAGGAGCACAAATGTCCACCACATGTGGATGGCTGGTCACTGAATCGAGATGCTGGATCGTACGCATCGAGTCCAATTTGTTGTTCGCTCCCGACGGAAATCAAGTTCAGATCGGAAATTCCGTGCAAACTCGAAATTTTTAACTGCTCACGTGGTACAAAATTTCTCTTACTTGAAGACGAAGGCGACCAATCTCCGAAAAGTCGTCCAGACAACTGAAAAAGCCTAAAAATACCACGTGTCTGAATGCAGGCGAAACATTAATTTATTCTCAGGTAGAACGCGGCCTAAGTAAGCGAGAGTGCCCCTTGAAACGACCGACTTACAGAAGCATCTGGCGGACAGTGAAATCTTGAGGGGTCGGTCCAGGAGCGGGGAAGAGACTTCTTTTTTATGACGTGCCAAATGATCGACGCGTGCTGGCAGGAGCTACAGAGACGCCTGATATACTACGAGATGGTGCTATATGGCGTGGGTGGGGTACAACGTTAATTGGAGTGACGGGTAATGGCGTTCCAGGGTCTTAAATATGTGTCCCAACAGCGCCTTTCGCCATATTGTATTATAATTTGCATAGATGATGAGCCAGCTGGCCTGTTCACATGATAATTCAAGCAGCCTCTGTGCCAATACGTACAGAAAGTGCAGAACAATTAATATTCCATCAGACAGGCGATGGGCATTGTATCTCCTGACTTAATGAAACCATTAATCAAAGCTGTGATTTTCTCATCCCTTTTAAATTAAATGTGCAAACCAATATAATACAAACTGTACGGAATATAAATATTATTGTGTCACTAAAGTCACGTATTCAAATGACTTTATTAAGAGAGCAAACAGCAAAGAAATTCCGGTTTCTGGCTAGTGGTCAGTATAAGTCCCGAGGATCCTACGACCAGATATCTGGGCAGGTCTTCTTGGTTGTCCCCCGTCTTTAAGCGAACGCAGAGAAGGTTCCCAAATTACAAGCTACCGCTGATTGTTTCTCATGCAGCCCTCCAGTTTCAAACTGATTGAAATTTCTCTGAATGTCATCAATTTACAAGTCATCCAAATTATATTTTATTTTTGAAAATATTATCGTCCCAAAATATCCACCAGAAAATCGATATTCGCTTGTCTTTGTCTCGAGTTTCTATTCCTTGCCACCTGAACGTCTTCACTTTCATTTGCCCTGAAAATAGAAGAGCGGGGAAGGCTTGGGTACCTTCTACCAACCCCCACGAAATAAAAGTCTCTCTCACTTCCCGCCCAAGAGATTCTGTTTGTTCGTTCGGTAACTCTCTCTTCGTCCAACAAACGCCGCCAGATAATTCAGACGAAACTAGTGCACAGACACGCGAACGTGCGAACGTCTTCTGTCAAGCGCTTGGCACACGCCGCTTGCAATGAACGGCGATGTTTCTCCTTCACTTTTCTCTCCTACTTACGATCTCAGCCTAGCAGTGCGCGACATTTTGATTCCAACAAAGTCTGTATTTATGAAAGCGGGCTAAAAATGTTACTGCAGTGACTGTACCTTAACTAATTAAGGAGGCGCTTGGCCAGTGGCGTCTGCCTGCAGGCAGATACTCTCCCCAGCATCCCCAGGGGCGAGTCACTCTCTCGATGATTACTGATAAATTATTGATCAGGTGGCGAAGGCGCCACATCCGGCCAACTTGTCCGAGCGGAATTCAGAAAAGAGCGAAGAATGCCGGATGTCAAGAGCGTACAGTCCGAGCAACAAATCCGCCAACGACGTCACGAACACTTACTTTCATCTGACAAGCTGTTTCGACACCAGTTCGTCGTCATCAGGTCACACATATCTTGTTGGCGAACAGATCCGTGCATATTCAGACTAGGGGCCCTTGCTGAAGGTGGATGGCAGTTGAACCCAGAACGGTTGGAAGGCCTCCATGGAGGGGGTAGGTGATAATACACCCTGGGATTTGCCTGAGAACCGAGAAAGAGCGCGGAAAAGCTCAGTGACGGTGGGCGAAGTGTCAGCCACGACGCCTTCCTGCTGTCTTCCTGTTATGGCATCTTCCGAGCGATATTTTAAGTTTCGTGTTACAGAGGGCTGTTTCTTGTGCCGTTCCATAATTACGCGCGTCTTTAAATATTTACATGTGCAATGCGACGTGATGTGTGAACCAAGCAGAGGATTTCGGTAGGGCCCATGAGGAAGGGGTGTCAGGGGATTGGACGAAATACGGCATAAAGAAGGGAATGAGACGCTGAAGAAAAGAGAGAGAAAATGCGGCCAGAGATGAGAGAAATCATTCACCAGTGAACACCGACATTTGCTCTAGTTTCCTCCAGAATAATATTAAAAAAGGATTCGGTGCAGTTGCTGGCTCTAAGCCGCGGGAACTTTCTTTAAAGCCAGTGGTTGCTCAGTTTGACAGGAAATCCTCCGTCTTTTACAAAAGCCTAAGTGTTCTGCTGTGTTAACAAGATCGTACCGGTGCATTATTACGAGCCAGCTGAATCCATTCCATGCCGACGCCCCCGTGTGTACGACAAAGTTTTTATTTCCTTTGTCGCGCTGAGCTGTTAAAACACCAATGACAGAAGGAGAAGACTTTGCGCTGCTGAAAATCTTCATTTGTGGGAAACCATCACAGCACAGAGAATTTCAATTTGGCGCAATATCGAGTAGGTCGAAATCGCTTGCCCAGGTCTTACCTGTGCGTAAGGAACTCGGTGGCTGTGATAAAACTGATAAAAGCATTACTCACTTCCATCTGTCACTGACACGCGAGCGACCGTGCCTATTCCTCTGCTACGAGCAGCAGGCATTCTTTACAAAGGGGTGGAGTGCGCAGAGAGAATGCATTTAGTGCTCCAGAGCGCAACTTTCGAGGCTGTATTTTGAAGAACCTCACGCCTCGTCCCACAAGAGCGAAAAATATCAGCTCGAAGGCCGACTCATAAAACATTCGACACGCGAAACTAGGCATTCGGCTTTTAACGAGTTGCGTCCCAAAAGGGCAAAACTGATAGGCGTCGTGCCTGACCACCTACAAGCGAAACAAAAGTTTTGTTTTTATTCTATGCACACACAAACGGTAATTTTTAACAGAAACGTCGTTTAGAATGACGAAAGCAGTAAATTCAGGACTGACAGAGAAAGTGAACATCGTACAACATTTTGTACTCCCACTTTGCGCAAAACAAAAGAACGCGTAAAATGGCGAATTGCCAGACGTCTCGTAAGACACCCCTCTTCAAACTAGTCGCGGTCAGAACTTCAACGCGGAATTAGGTTTCCAACAGACCGCTCCTAAAAGCTAAATAAATAATCAACTAACTTTATAGTCCTCCTTGAATTACTGTCGTCGCACAACCAATAAATTACTTTTGTTCCGAGTTCATCGCCGCGTTTATAAAACTCTACATTCACAGGTTATT